CTAAAAATCTCGCTTCGATGGGAACTGTTTACCCCTCATTTCTACCCCTTCCCATTCGTCCACGTGGGAAAATTCAAATACGATGATTGGTCGTAAATGGGAAGATATAGCGGAAACTGGGCCGGAATTCGGGGAGTTCGTCGGCAGATCCGAGAGTGACAAGGCTCCACTTTTTTTGCTCTCTAAGGCCAAAGCCCTTAGGAGTCCATCGGAAAATCCGAAGAGACCGCACTCCACATACAGGCTCCAAACGCCCATGATCGTATTATATAGGGTTAAACTTAAGTGAGAACGTAGAAGATAACCTTTATTATTGTGCCTATCCTACCCTCTCTTGAACCGAAGCTCAAGTACGATCGAAATGAAGTACCCTTGCCAAGACAAGAAGACGACAAAGCAAATTTAACAAGTCGTATGATTTTAAATGAACTGTGAGCTCTTTCTCACCGGTATAGGTTAAGAATAGATTTTCCTCCGGTCTCGATTAATTTAATTATTCGTTCTTTGCTTGAATGTGTTTAATTATTTGATTATTCCTTATTCTGTATTAGTATCGTTTATTTTGTTTATTAAATACTCTACATTTTGTTAAGAGATGTCTCCCGTCGAATCTCTGAATCAGATCTACGGCATAAATTTCGCGCGTGTTTATCGGCGTTACGAAAAATAGATAAACTGGTGTCGGGAAACTGACATTTGGATAGAAACTACACAGTCTTTAATCCTCATTAAGCCTGAATATTACAGCCCTCCTATGAACGATTTAAGATAGGATCTCGCAATCAGAAACTAAGAGAACAGATTTCAGACAATCTGTGCCCGTAAGTGATATAGGATCAACCTTATACCTTTGGCTACTCTCACACCATCTATCGTAGGATAAATGTACTATCCCAGAAACCTTCGTGGAAGTATATTAAACAACTTCCCAAAGTTTCACGGCAATCGGATAAACGTTGAGGTAATGCATGAAGGACAGACATACATTCATTTATATATATATAGATTTATTTTAAAGTGTAAAGGTTTAGCGTTTTATTTGTGTTCAGAAAACCTCGAACTTTCATGAAGATTTTATATAAATACTAGCTGCAAGGACCCACTTCGCTGGGTTTTTATTTGTATGTAATATAGTTTTATATATATATATATAAGACTGTTTTTCTAAGTAATCTAGAATCTAGCTGCAAGGACCCGCTTCGCTGGGCAAAAAGTAACGAGAGTGAAGATTAAGATAATTACATTATAGCTAATCTTACCCGTTTTCACAGAATGCAAGAATTAGGTCCCCCGTTTCCAGACTAATTAGAGAATTTTTACGTTTAGTCAAACAAACTATTTTCAACGTTTCTGTAACGTTTACAATCGTTCTATAATCGAACCAATATTCAAATTTTATGTTCAAATTTAATCGGAACAAATTCGAACAAAACATTCGAAATAGAAAGCCACTTTCAATCACTTTCAACCTCATATCTCCCGCACCCTTATAGCTATCGAGACGCAACCACGCCTATGCACGAATGGGCACTTGGGGCTATCACCACATACAAACACCATTCAGGTGCGATGTGTAGTTTTGGCGAAAAAGTGAAATATAGGGACATACATGTCCATTTTTATATATAGATAGATATTTTATATATATATAGATATAGATATAGATAAAGTTAAAATTTTCTGCTGCGCTGATTTCAAATATGATATTTTGTTAAAAAATAGTTGTTATATTGTAATTATAAAATAGCAAAAACGCTGAGTTTTGAATGCTGACATAGGTTTTTACCAAAAATGCGTAAATGCTATCAAGCGAAGAAGTTCCTGATTAAATTTGACACCACCACGAGACACGACACGAGTTTCTTCTACCTTTCCACCTCGTTGTCGTTTATCCACCAAAATTTAACATCGATGTCCCTTACACGGAGCCGTAACTAGCCACTCCTGTGCCCTGTGCGAGAATTTGCATTTAGGCCCTTTAACTTATTTGGTTTTGGAAAAATACATTACAATAGATTTTTAATAAGATTTATTTTAATTGAATTTTTCTGGCTTTCATTTCAGCAAATTCATTAATTACAACATCATAATTAATATTTTCAACTATATTGTATTCTACTGAAATAATAGAAATATTGCATAATCGTTCTTGTCCGATAGTTGATCTTAAATAATTTTTTTATTAAGTTTAACTTACTAAAACTTCTCTCGCACGAAGCAATAGAAACGGGAAGAGTTAGAAATATTCCAAGAGCGACATTGATATTTGGGTAAGACTCAATTAAACCAAAATCACGAAGAGCCTGTAAAATATTAAGCGGAGATGCAGTTTCTATAAATCTATATATATAAAATTGCTTGTCCTGACTGACTGAATGTCTCACTGATTCATAATCGCCCAGAGCAAACCGCTGGACCGAAAAAGCAGAAATTTGGTACACAGTTAGGGTTCGTCATGAAAACGCACAATAAGAAGGGATTTTTCGAAATTCCCAAGTGCGGGGGAGAGGGAGAGCATTAAGTCTAAACCAGAAGAACGGCTTCTACTGTACTATTTTAAATGCGATTTTTTGTTTTTATGTGCATTTTAGTAGGGAAAGTCATGGCAATGCACACTAAAAAGGGATTTTCAGAAATTCTCCCGCGGGGGGGTGAGGGAGAGCATTAAGGCTTTACCGGAAGAACGGCTTCTACTGTACTATTTTAGATGCGATTTTCTGTTTTTAACTACGTTTAGTCTTCATTGAGTACTTAGGTGTATTAAATTGATAACATTTCAGACATTGTTATAAATATTTTTATCTATTTCGATTTTTAAAATGTTCGAACCGTTTTAAATTCGAATTTGTTATTGCATATTGGTTCGATTATAGAACGATTGTAAACGCTCCAGAAAATTGATCAAATTGAAAATAGTTCGGTTGATTCACCGCAATTCTCTTCAGCGGTAGCTGTTATATAACAATTACTATGGTTATTGAAATACTGAATGTAAATGGGGTTTGCTTGCAAAACCTCTGCTGACGAAGTCGCGGGTAACAGCTAGTTTTGTATAAGAGTGGTTACTTCAAAATTAAAATTGTTAATTTCACTTGTGAATTCGTACTCTTTTAAATCTTTGCTATATTTAATTGCGAGATCTGCAGCCGATTCTTTTAAATTAGCAGCAATCGTGTATTATAAAGACGAGCCACAGCGAAAGCAAAAATCGTCACAGATAGTTTTCATTTTTTCATAACGCCAATCTATTTGACACAATAGAGCGTCAAGAACACTAAATTTGTATTTTAAATAATTTTTCTGGCGTCAAGTTACTTTGTTCATCTTGTGTTTTATTTATTTCCATTATCTTAACTATTTTTTTTTCGTTTATTAAGAAATCGCTTTTCTATACTTTTTGGTTATTTTTAATAATATGATCAATAATAGCATCTGTTAATATTGTTGGCCATAAAGCTATATTATTTATTACTTCCATGTATCTATATATATCGAAGCGTTTTTGGACTATTTCTATCTTCTGCGTTTCCGCAATCACTTTTTTCAGTAGCATTTTAAAGACTGCGTGAGCCCTTTTGGGGCCCTACGCGCCCGCATTGTTCTCTTACCGCTTAATCCGCCGTTCAGGTATACACCACATATGCATACCACTAAAACAAAAATTGATGTCAGAATTTCTGCACGCCTTTTACAACCTCGAGACTAAGATTTTATTTGGGAGTTACCGTTATTGAATAATTTTAAAAAAATCCTCGGACAGATTTATTTTTGTTACAAAATGTTATCTTTACTGATTTCTAGCTCTGCACACTGTAGAAAAATCTAGAAATACAGTTTTGTATATCGTAATGATATTAGTAGTAGCCAGAAAGCTCTATAAAGTAGAGAAAAATCTGTAAAATTGAAAACTATAAACGTAAATGTAGATTTCTCACGAAATAAAATAAAAAAAATATCAAAAGTCGCTACTTTTGTCTGATTTATCTGAGAGTCTCCGCTACCTCACTACGTCCTTCTAAATTCGTAACAGTTGGAAACACTAGTGAGCAGTCTTCTGCGGTCTAAGTAAGGCGAAATGTAATCGCCAAACAAGCACTGTAGAAAGGCGGAAAAATTTAAAATTTAAAATTATAATTTCTTGTGAACAACAATTTGGGCCCCCTTCCAAGTGGGCTCTGTGCGGGTGCACCTGTTGCACCTGCCTATTTACGGCTCTGCCCTTACATACAAGCTACCATGTTAAATGTCGTTCCTTGATCATTACTTCATCCCGAAATATTAAACGTAATAGACGATTTAAGTTCAAGTTTAAGATATAAGTTACATAGACCGATTGATTATTACATACTGGAATAAAAATAATTCAAAAGTAAACCAATTCAGAAAAATTTAGGTTAATTTTATTTTTACTTATTATCGTGATGCGAATTTTTGCTGGAATACATATTTAGTATTAGAATTATATTTTCGATTAAGATTTTCCTAATGGCATTTATAAACAAAACTTATATTAAATTATTTAAATTAAACCCATTTACTGTTCTTTAATACTTGAAAATTCATTTCATTTCTTAAATTAACTATTGTAAATACAGTAGAGCCTCGTTTATCCGAATTAATTGGAGACAGGTTGTTCGCATAACTTATTTTTCGGTTAACCGATTACGTACGAAAAAATGTATTAACCTATCTTATGTTGAAATTTTTCTCTGTTGCGTGTCGCTTCGCGTTGAATTTTCGTCAATGTTAAGCCTAACGTAAACTTTTTAAAATAATAATTGTGGCTATTGTATCGTTAAAAATTATTTTTTTATTTTGTACAATATATTTATTTTGTACAAACAAAATAAATATATTGAAAAATATAAAAACCAAAAAAATATACTTTAGAAGTTGATCTAGTATCAAAAACGTTCGATTCAGCACCACACGAAATCCTCAGAAAAACACCATACAAAAGTGCTAGTGCTGCCAGCTAAAACACACACCAACAAAAAAAATATTGGAGTAGCCCAAGATATAGCCAAAGATTGCAGCGCCACAGCACTAGCAAAAATTTAAATTTGCCAACTGGAATTCTTTCGGATAACCGACGTTTTGGATAATCGGGTTTTGGATAAACGAGGCTCTACTGTATTCCTAAAACCATTATCTCTTAAACCTTCTGATTACTGTCAGTAATGTTTATCATAGATAAATTTAACAGTTAAACTCACAAATGTTTAGATATTATTAATTTTATATTTTACATGATGTGCAGAAAGGCTAACTTAATGTTTAAGAACATGACTTAATATTTCTAAGAACAGAATTAAATAAAAACCATAACACCGGATTTGTAAAACACGGATATATATTGAAAACAATCCATTGTTTTATACTTTTGTTCGTTCGTCCCTTTCTTTAGAGTAATATTTCTCTTTAGCAATTTTGTATAATTCATTCATTGAAATTACTCCCATCTTCTTTACCAAGTTATAAAATATACCATTTACGTTCTTCAGTAATGCATACGGCGAGTCAAATTCTTGTAGTTTTCCTGTATCTAGTACCTAAAATTTTAAAAATTTCTAATTAAGAAAGCATTTATTTTTATATTATTAAAATGAAGAATCTTACCAGAACTCTATCCGAATCGATGACTGTATGTAATCTGTGAGCTATTGTCAACACAGTACAAGATTTGAACTTTTCTCGAATTATTTTCTGTAGACAGGAATCGGTTCTTGACAGAAAATAAATAAAATATACGTCATAATTGAAAATATTAATATCAGTATAAAACCCAAATGACGTATTCGGAAAATAATGAAATTGACTTAGAAATATCAATATCTACAACGTTTTATATAAACTTAGACCCGTGTTTTTTTATTTTCCGTCTTTCAGTTACATGTTAATAGCTGTTTTTTTCGGTAAAAGTATCCCACTGTATACAGAACTGGCTGAATAAAATTGAATTAATCGTTCGTAATACATCGGAGATTTTTCTGACCACGTTGCCTTTCGGATGGACTCAATTCCAAAGGACAACTGGTTATAGAACCGCGAATCCACAAACTGATACTGTGGTTATTAGTTTCAATCATTCAAACTACTCAGCTGCCCAGTTAGAACGACTACCTATTTTGTTTTTATTAAAAAAGACAGGAAGATGGGATTTTAATCATAAGATTAGAGTAGTCAGTCTTATAGCTCATAATGTAATCGTTGGAATAAAAAAATCTTTTTTAACAACAGTATATATGCAAGCGATGATATAATAGTATCTTTTTCTCCAAATTGTTTAAGTTCTAAGTGTACGAGTGAGCGTGATAATGTTTTATAACTATCCAAAGCTTCGTTACATGTAGAATCTCAGAAGAGAAAGTAAACAAATCCAAAGTAGACACGAAAATGATACATTTAACAGTTTATCTTTGCACAACAAAACACTAATGTAACGTAAGTAGTAGTGGTTTGGGTGGCACTAATCACAAAATTAATTTTTCCTAAAGAAAACTTAATTTTAAATGAATTTTCTAAATAAAAATTAATTTTGCATTACAAAATTAATTTTTAAATAAATTTCTTAAATAAAAATTATTTTTTCTTTAGGAAAAATTAATGTTAATTTTAATTTTAATTTTATTCTTTAGGAAAAATTAATTTTTAAATAAATTTTCTAATCACAAAAATAATTTTTACTCAAGTAAGTTGCATTGATAAAATTTGTTTTAATCACAAAAATAATTTTTACTCAAGTAAGTTGCATTGATGAAATTTGTTTTAATCATTAAAGTAATTTTTACTCAAGTAAATAATTTGTATAAATTCTGAAAATTTGTTATAATCAAAAAATAATTTTTACTCAAGTAAGTTGTATTGATAAAATTTGTAATTTTTACTCAAGTAAATTTTAAAATATTAAGTTGTTTTAATAATAAGTTGTTCTGAATAAATTTACAATAAGAAGTTTTATTATAATTTTACACAAAGTGAGTGGTAATTTGAAATAATATAACACAGAAATCTTTTTATTTTTGCATTACATGAATACAGTTTGTTTAAGTGTTTATAGTACACTTAATAAATATATCAGAACAGTTTATTTCTGCAAGTAAGAATAGCAATATATTTTTGCGATTGCGAACAATATAATCTCGATCTAATTTTTGGTATTTTATAATGTGACGCCAAGAAAGTTGATTTTGAAAATCGTTGATAAATTGTTCGTCAAGTTTTTGGTAGCGAGAAACAAACTCCCAGTCTAGATAATCTTCTAATTCGCGTAAAGTGTTTGTTTTTAATTGTTGGTATTTTAAAATCTTTTCATTATCAAAATGATGCATGAAAATAACAATAAAATCATCCGAAAGGGTTTGAAATTCTGCAACTTTATTCCAATTGAGATGTTCCAAAAAATCAGTTAGGAATTGTTCATTTAATTTCTGGTACTGGCAAATTAAATCCCATCTCGCGTAATCAATATGTTGTATGATAAACGGGATGGGAAATTTGTAATTTTTCCATATGTATTCCCAATTTAACTTATCCGCAATTTCCAAAATAAACGTATGAGATAAATTGCGTTGTTGACTGACGATATTCCAATCAACATAATTTTTAAAACGACGAATAGAACTTTCTTCTACTGGCAAGAAAGTTTCCCCTGTCGACAGAGGGTTGTGAATTGTCTAAAAAGAAATAAACAGTTCTTTTATAATATTTGTTTATTTGAATACAGATTTAAAATTGAATACATGAGTACATATATAATACATGAGTAAATATACAAAATAATAGTTGAGTACATATACAAAATAATAGTTCAGTACATATAATTGAATACAAACAAGTTAATTTTCGTTACAGTCTTTTTGAGAAAACAGAATTTCGCTACAGTCTCCAAAACCTTCTTTTTGGGAAAAGTCAATTTTGGTACATTCTCCGAAGCCTTTTTCATCTCTGTCAGTGATGTCTAATGTTTCTAAAAAAGTCGGATGCATAATTTTTTCGAAAATTAATTGTGCGATGGGCGTTCCAGGTTCAAAAATAATAAGTTTTGGTCCAAAATTATACATTAAGACTCCAATGTTTCCACGATAGTCACAATCAATGACTCTCGCATTGATTATAATGTTATTTAGAGATAAAGAAGATTTTGGAGCAATTCTAGCATAACAGTTATTCGGTATTTCTATAGCTAGATCCGTAAATATTACTTTTTGTTCATTCGGATTAAGTTCAAATCCATTAACACAAAATATATCATATCCGGCTGCTCCCGTAGAAGCCTTTTTCGGAATTTTTACATTTTCAGATAACTTTTTAAAATATACAAATTCTAGAAAATAAAATATTTATTTATTACATTTTATGCAAGCACATTTTATAAAAGATTCGTTGAATATTGGTAATGTTATTTTATCATTTATTATGAAAAATTTACATTCATATGTTTTATTATTTGGCAATTTTAACAATGCTGCTTTATTATGTGTTTGTTTCAAACAAGGATAAGTTTTACTACAAACGCTATGTATTACATAAGAACGTTTTGTTTTATATACTAATAAAAAGCCATATTGCGAAGATGATGATATCAGATTATCTGCAAGAATTAAAAGTAGAAATTGTAGTGGCCAAATGACACTACATCTATTCCATTACCTAAAATGAATTTTTTATTGTAAAATGGAGAAAGAGAAATTATATTTTGTAGATATGTTGTTACTATATGATTTTTACTTTTAATTCCATCAACAATATGGAATTAAAAGCAAAAATCATGAAATTGATGGAATTAAAAGCAAAAAACATGTAGTAACAACCCTCCATCGACTGGGAAACTTTCTCGCTAGTAGAAGAAAGTACTATTCGTCGTTTTAAAAATTATGTTGATTGGAATATCGTCAGTCAACAACGCGATTTATCTCATACATCTATTTCAGAATTTGCGGATAAGTTAAATTGGGAATACATATGGAAAAATTACAAATTCTCCATCCCGTTTATCATACAACATATTGATTATGCGAAATGGGACTTAATTTGCCAATACCAGCAATTAAATGAACAATTCCTAACTGATTTTTTGGACCATCTTGATTGGAATAAAGTTGCAGAATTTCAAACTCTTTCGGACGATTTTATTGTTATCTTCATGCATCACTTTGATAATGAAAAAATTTTAAAATACCAACAATTAAAAACAAATACTTTACGCGAGTTAAAAGATTATCTAGACTGAGATGTTGTTTTTCGCTACCAAAAACTTGACGAACAATTTATCGACGATTTCCAAAATCAATTTTCTTGGTG